AAGAGAAGGTAAACACTGCAGCTGCTCCGTTAAATGTCTCAAATAAACTCTTTAAAGACAAAAAGTGGCGCCATTTAAACACGATTCTGTGTTTATGAACAGTTATTGTACTCGTGTGAGAGCAGATTCTGTGTTTATGAACAGTTATTGTACTTGTGTGAGAGCAGATTCTGTGTTTATGAACAGTTATTGTACTTGTGTGAGAACAGATTCTGTGTTTATGAACAGTTATTGTACTTGTGTGAGAGCAGATTCTGTGTTTATGAACAGTTATTGTACTTGTGTGAGAGCAGATTCTGTGTTTATGAACAGTTATTGTACTTGTGTGAGAGCAGATTCTGTGTTTATGAACAGTTATTGTACTTGTGTGAGAACAGATTCTGGTTCCAGCTGTATTCAATCAGAGTAACAGCCGTCTGAACCGAACCGATCACCAGACTCCGTTCAGAAAACGGTCCTTTTAAAACTGAATGTAACAGTTAACGGGTTAAAACACCGGATCGATAAAACCACCGGGGCTGCTCATCACCGAGAGGAACTGTTCTTCAACTCGGCACACAACATACACACCCAGTGATTATTGACAGTTATTGATCGATTGGTTTCTGAGAGAATTGACAAAATGCGTTCAGGAAGGTGTTGATCAATGTGTGTGTGTGTGTGTGTGTGTGTGTGTGTGTGTTACTGTGTGTGTAGATGACGGTCCACAACCTGTACATATTCGACCGTAACGGCAGCTGTCTGTATTATAACGAGTGGAACCGGAAGAAGCAGGCGGGGATCTCCAAAGAGGAGGTGAAAGAAAAAGAGATAAAGATATAACTTTATTATAAAGAGAATATAAAGTGTTAAAGAGATAAAGATATAACTTTATTATAAAGAGAATATAAAGTGTTAAAGAGATAAAGATATAACTTTATTATAAAGAGAATATAAAGTGTTAAAGAGATAAAGATATAACTTTATTATAAAGAGAATATAAAGTGTTAAAGAGATAAAGATATAACTTTATTATAACGAGAATATAAAGTGTTAAAGAGATAAAGATATAACTTTATTATAAAGAGAATATAAAGTGTTAAAGAGATAAAGATATAACTTTATTATAACGAGTGTCTGTGTGTCTGCAGGAGTTCAAGCTGATGTACGGGATGCTGTTCTCCATCCGCTCCTTCGTCAGTAAGATGTCTCCTCTGGACATGTATCCTTCACAACAGCTGTCTGTCTGCCTGTCTGTCTGTCTGCCTGTCTATCTGTCTGCCTGTCTGTGGTCCTTAGCAGCCTGTCTGTCCTCAGGAAGGAGGGCTTCCTGTCCTTTCAGACCAGCAGGTATCGTCTCCATTACTACGAGACTCCCAGTGGACTGAGGTTCGTCATGAACACGGATCTGTCAGTGAGCAACGCCAGAGAGACCCTGCAGCACATCTACAGCAACGTAAGACACACACACTGTAACACACACTGTAACACACACACACTGTAATATACACAGAGAGACCCTGCAGCACATCTACAGCAACGTAAGACACACACACTGTAACACACACTGTAACACACACTGTAATACACACTGTAATATACACAGAGAGACCCTGCAGCACATCTACAGCAACGTAAGACACACACACTGTAACACACACACTGTAACACACACTGTAACACACACACTGTAACACACACACTGTAATACACACACTGTAACACACACTGTAACACACACTGTAACACACACTGTAACACACACACTGTAACACACTGTAACACACACTGTAATACACACACTGTAACACACACTGTAATATACACACTGTAACACACTGTAATATACACACTGTAACACACACTGTAACACACACACACTGTAATATACACAGAGAGACCCTGCAGCACATCTACAGCAACGTAAGACACACACACTGTAACACACACTGTAACACACACACACTGTAATATACACACTGTAACACACTGTAACACACACACACTGTAACACACACTGTAACACACACTGTAACACACACACTGTAACACACACACTGTAATACACTGTAACACACACACTGTAACACACACACTGTAACACACACTGTAACACACTGTAACACACACTGTAACACACTGTAACAAACACACTGTAACACATACTGTAACACACACACTGTAACACACACACTGTAACACACTGTAACACACACACTGTAACACACACTGTAGCACACACTGTAGCACACTGTAACACACACTGTAACACACACTGTAACACACTGTAACACACACTGTAACACACTGTAACACACACTGTAACACACTGTAACACACACACACTGTAATACACACACTGTAATACACACTGTAACACACACTGTAATACACACTGTAACACACACACTGTAACACACTGTAGCACACACTGTAACACACATTGAAACACACTGTAACACACACTGTAACACACTGTAACACACACTGTAACACACACTGTAACACACTGTAACACACACACTGTAATACACACACTGTAATACACACTGTAACACACACTGTAATACACACTGTAACACACACACTGTAACACACACACTGTAACACACACACTGTAACACACACTGTAACACACACTGTAACACACTGTAGCACACACTGTAACACACACTGTAACACACTGTAACACACACTGTAACACACTGTAACACACACTGTAACACACACTGTAACACACACACTGTAATACACACTGTAACACACTGTAACACACACTGTAACACACTGTAACACACACTGTAACACACACACTGTAACACACACTGTAACACACTGTAACACACACACACTGTAATACACACACTGTAATACACACTGTAACACACACTGTAATACACACTGTAACACACACACTGTAACACACTGTAGCACACACTGTAACACACATTGAAACACACTGTAACACACACTGTAACACACTGTAACACACACTGTAACACACTGTAACACACACTGTAACACACTCTGTAACACACTGTAACACACACACTGTAATACACACACTGTAATACACACTGTAACACACACTGTAATACACACTGTAACACACACACTGTAACACACACACTGTAACACACACACTGTAACACACACTGTAACACACACTGTAACACACTGTAGCACACACTGTAACACACACTGTAACACACTGTAACACACACTGTAACACACTGTAGCACACACTGTAACACACACTGTAACACACACACTGTAACACACACTGTAGCACACACTGTAGCACACTGTAACACACACTGTAACACACACTGTAACACACTGTAACACACACTGTAACACACTGTAACACACACACACACTGTAATACACACACTGTAATACACACTGTAACACACACTGTAATACACACTGTAACACACACACTGTAACACACTGTAGCACACACTGTAACACACATTGAAACACACTGTAACACACACTGTAACACACTGTAACACACACTGTAACACACACTGTAACACACTGTAACACACACACTGTAATACACACACTGTAATACACACTGTAACACACACTGTAATACACACTGTAACACACACACTGTAACACACACACTGTAACACACACACTGTAACACACACTGTAACACACACTGTAACACACTGTAGCACACACTGTAACACACACTGTAACACACTGTAACACACACTGTAACACACTGTAACACACACTGTAACACACACTGTAACACACACACTGTAATACACACTGTAACACACTGTAACACACACTGTAACACACTGTAACACACACACTGTAACACACACACTGTAACACACTGTAACACACACACACTGTAATACACACACTGTAATACACACTGTAACACACACTGTAACACACACACTGTAATACACACTGTAACACACACTGTAACACACACTGTAACACACACACTGTAATACACACTGTAACACACTGTAACACACACTGTAACACACTGTAACACACACACTGTAACACACACTGTAACACACTGTAACACACACACACTGTAATACACACACTGTAATACACACTGTAACACACACTGTAATACACACTGTAACACACACACTGTAACACACTGTAGCACACACTGTAACACACATTGAAACACACTGTAACACACACTGTAACACACTGTAACACACACTGTAACACACTCTGTAACACACTGTAACACACACACTGTAATACACACACTGTAATACACACTGTAACACACACTGTAATACACACTGTAACACACACACTGTAACACACACACTGTAACACACACACTGTAACACACACTGTAACACACACTGTAACACACTGTAACACACACTGTAACACACTGTAACACACACTGTAACACACTGTAACACACACTGTAACACACACTGTAACACACACACTGTAATACACACTGTAACACACTGTAACACACACTGTAACACACACACTGTAATACACACTGTAACACACACACTGTAACACACTGTAACACACACTGTAACACACACACTGTAACACACACTGTAACACACTGTAACACACACTGTAACACACTGTAACACACACTGTAACACACACTGTAACACACACACTGTAATACACACTGTAACACACTGTAACACACACTGTAACACACACACTGTAACACACACTGTAACACACACACTGTAACACACACTGTACACACAGTGTAACAGACACACACACACACACACACACACACACACACACACACACACACACACACACACACACAGTGTAACAGACACACACACACACACACACACACACACACACACACACACACACACACTCAGACTTGTTAACAACTGTTTGATAGACTTTATGTTCTCTACAAGCTAAAGTCTGTTTGTGAACTTGTTGTTGTTGTTGTTGTAGTAAACAATAACAGTGTCAGTTATAAAACATGAAATCATGTTTGTTCTCTCTCTCCATTATTAATATTATTAATATTATTAATAATATTAGTAATAATATTATTATTAATATTAGTAATAATAATCCAAACAACAGGCTCCTCCCTTACTGCCTGTTTAATAATGAGCAAGCTGACAGCTCTCTGCTTCCTGTGGGAGTGGACTTTTATTGTGAAGGATGATTCATTAAACTTTTATCTCTCTGCCTGTCTGTCTGTCTCTCTGCCTGTCTGTCTGTCTCTCTGCCTGTCTGTCTGTCTCTCTGCCTGTCTTTCTGTGTGCCTGTCTGTCTCTCTGCCTGTCTGTCTGTGTGCCTGTCTGTCTCTCAGCTGTATGTGGAGTACATAGTGAAGAACCCGGTGTGTGACTCTACTCACAGTTTGGACAGCGAACTGTTCAGCAGCCGACTGGACGCCTTCATCAGAGCGCTGCCGTACTACAGCCCACGAGCTGCCTGACACACACACACACACACAGTGACACACACACAGTGACACACATACAGTGACACACACACACTGTAACACACACACACACTCACACACACACACACACACACACACACACACACACACACACACACACACACAGTGTAACAGTTTTATAGTTTGTTGATGTAAAATGTGTAAAATGATTTAAAGAGTGAAACTGTGTCTGATAATAATCTGAATATGTAAACAGCTCCTCATCTGAGCTCCCTATTAATACAATCTGTTGTTGTTGTTGTTGTTGTTGTTGTTGTTGTTGTCAGAGGAGAATGTACTCACCTTTCAATAAAACATCTTCAGTATCTATTAATGACTTAATATAATAATAATAATAATAATAATAATAATCAGTGTGATATGTTTAATAATCCGAGTTAAAGGGGATCACAACCATCAAACAATAATAAAGATTCATCATCATCATCATCAGCATCATCATCATCATCATCATCAGCAGCATCATCATCATCATCAGCAGCAGCATCAGGAAGTGTACTTACGGTAACTGTGATTAATGGAACTATATATTTATATATATATATAAATATATATATATATATATATATATAAATATATATATATTTATATATACTTCAGGAAGTAGACTATCACAATAAAACGCTGACAGACTTCAGGAAGTAGACTATCACAATAAAACGCTGACAGACTTCAGGAAGTAGACTATCACAATAAAACGCTGACAGACTTCAGGAAGTAGACTATCACAATAAAACGCTGTGGAGCTCTTGTGCAGGTGAAGGTTACCTGATCACAGCTGTGTGGTTAATCCAGTGCACCAGTTGTTGAAAAGGAAAGAAGGAATCTGAAATCAGATCCCAGTTTTAATCTGGATCAAAGCTTCAGTTGGTGTTGTCAGTAGGATTTGGATTACTTTGATGATCCCAACAGGCGGACGGACTTCCAGGTGGATTCCAGGAATAGAAACTTTAACGTTGGTGAAATAAGACATTATCTGAGGTTGAGCTTGTGTCCCATCAGGGATACTGTGTTCTAACAGCAGCTGAGGGGGAACCGTGGACTCAAACCCTGCTGGAGCCTGTTAAGTGCCATTATGCCTCAATAGTAGGAAGCTCTGCTGCAGGTGGAACGGCGACTAACAAAAGGAAGAAAGACATTTGGGTTGAAATCACCCAGAATGCAATGGGGTCTGGCCAGAAGACGACCTTGGAGCAAGTGACATTTCGATGGAAGAATCTGAGGAGCAGAGCAACAAAGGTAACAGACCCTTTCAGAAAGATGTGGTTGACGGTGTCGTAGAGGGAAGTGAGCCGGTTCCTCCTAATGCAGAGGAAACCTTTGTTCTGGATCTCAGCCCTTATTGAAGAACAACCTGGATCCTCACTGTTAGAGCCAGCAGTCACAGCCATGTGTCAGCAGACCTCAGAGTGGGTGGAGTCAAATGTTAAACCCCGCCCACTCTCCAACAGTTGACTGCGGCGTCACCGTGATGCTTCCTGTTCGGTCTCCTGTCTCCTTCCACGCTTCTGACTGCCGCTTTGGTATGATAAATAATGGAAGTCAGTGTGACTTTAGAATATTCTTCATGTATTTTAGGTGTATCGTTGTGTGAATTAGCTGCTCATGAGCTAATGTTATATTCAAACTAACATACTAATATCAGAGTGCATTCAGTGGTATATGCACAGTAATCAGTCCCTCCAGAAAAACGCCATTGTGCAATCCCATAATTCAATGCATAATCAGACAAACCTTTGCCCGCAACAATCACATAAAAACTCTGTGTAATGAGACTAATCAGAGTAAAGAAAAACAGTCAGTATTTTGTGACTTTGTAGTCATGTTGTTGTTTTTTTATGTATAGAGACACATTACAGTGATACAGTGACCTCCCCGAATCCACAAAAAGCAGCGACCAGTGCATCTGCAAAATATCAAGTGGACAACCACATTAAGGGCCCTGCGTCAGTGAGGCACAAAGGTAGTACTTCTGAAATGTAGTTATTGAATACACTGTAATTAAGGGCTGCGCGATATGACCCCCACTGCCCTCATCGTTCATACTTTATATTAACATGTACAGTAAATATGCTCTATGAAAATAACAGTGACATTTGTTTTGTTATTAAGAACATATCTTGTCTTTTTGATTTTAAAATCACTTGTATATTACTCAGAGATAGGATGCTTTATGATCTCTGGTCATAGTTTGTTATTTTTATACATGTATTTATATAATATGGTATTATAATAAAGTCATTATGCGTGTTTTCTTTTCAGTTTTACTTATACTTCCTTTATGCATATATTCAGCCTATATTTCTCTGGACTATGAGTAACTTACATGAACCAATTTCACATTAATCTGCAAAACAGATTGATGCGTTTGATGTCTTTAATGTTTGACTATTGTATATTGATTGTATTCTGATTGTATTTGTTTATTAAATGAACAAGGGGGGGTGTGTAGTAGAGAAATAATATAAATCAATGCCATGTTCCTCTAAGAGTCTGATATCATATGATCCGTACCTCAGACCCAGACCAGTACATGTCCACTCATTGTTATTATTATCATTATCAACATCATCATTTTTGTCATTATTATTATTATTATTATTAACATTATTATCATTTTTGTCATTATGATCATCATTTATATCATTTTAGTATTTCATTAACATTTTTACTGTTTGCCTGCTTGTTTTATGTTAATGTTTGTTTGTTGTTTGTTGTTCAATAATTTGTTGTTCAATAAAAATAAAATAAACAGTCTAGTGATCCCTTTAATTTTGATAACATTAAGAAAGTATCTCAGGTTACATTTGATTATGATAAATACACATTAAAATATATTACTTCTTTAATCATTTAATGAATAATTAAGGTAATTTAATGTTTTGATAGGTAGTTAATCTGTTATTTTGTGAAATGTGTCAATATTGTATTTCATAATTAGTAAAACCAAAGATTAAGTTCATTGTGTTTAAATCCCTGCATTTCGCCACATTCATTATGGTTTCTTGTCCCTCTTCAGATACCGTATTTAATGAGTTGAGCACACTGAGGTCTGCAGGCCTGCAGTCAGGGATACATGGAGGTCCATGCCAGATACCAGCGCACTTAGTGGTAGTGACCACTGGTCTGTCCAGAGACCACAGAATCGTCTACAACCCCCTCTCTGATGCTTCACCTGAGCCGGAAGCTCCACTCGGTCCACTTTGGTTTTGGCTCATGCGCGTTTGGAGGAATCGGGGTTCAATTATTTTCCCCTGTGACCAATGTGACGTCATTTCAACACTTTTTTACTCGTACCCACAAACTTGAACTCTTGTTCACAGTGAAGACTTCGTAGTGGTAGAAATTAGAGTTTGTGACTTTGTACTCACAGCTTTTAGATTCATACTCACATAAAAACAATCCTTACCCAAACAGTTTCTCATTTTGTGTACAACAATTTTATTGACATATAAATGTTTAACATTACGAATACGAATGGTTAGAATCATGAACACATCTTTTTGATAGCTATCTTACTCCATACATTTAGAGACTTTATTCAGGCCTGTTAGTGAGGCGTTAGTACACCTGGCTGAGCAGGTAACAAACATTAGGAGAAACAGACTGCTCATTGATCTGTGATCACTGTCTGATCAACTGTCTGATCACTGTCTGATCACTGTCTGATCACTGTGATCGATGGTTTTATATTTTTATTTTATGTTTGAGGAATTTGCTAAAAATTATAAATATTTTCAAAATAAATTAAAATATCACAACATAAAGTATTTTACTAAAAAGGGAAAATTGCTTATAATCCAACATATTTTGCAATACATAGAAAAATAAGTCAGAACTTGTTTGTTTCACCACAGAAATCATAAATGTAATTATTAGTTTAAACCTTTTTAGTTGAACATGTAATAAAGTTGTGTGTTTGATAGTAAAGAACTGATCTAATCAGAGTGATTGACAGGAGAAATGATCAGGGGTGCAGCGGTGCCGGGGTTGAAGAATGGGAACAGCCTCTCAGTGAAGTGACAGTCAGTGAAGGAGAAGATCAGATCTGCAGCATCAACATCGTAAAAGGAGACCAGACCGCCATCGTAGTCCACGAACACGCCGATCTTCCGAGGATGCCACGTCAGACTGAGGTGAACGTCACGGCTGCCGTCACAAGCTTTGTACTCGTTAGCCTTCCTCAGTATCCAGAGACCACTCTCCTGGTTCTTTGTGACCTTCCCCTTCCTGCTGATGGACTCTCTGACCACTCCTAAATCCCATTTCATCTTCTCCTTTACCTGCACCTCGTAGTAAAACCTTCCACAAGAGAAACTCTGCTTTGCTAAGATCCCACCGCCTGGATAAAACCTCTCCGGTGTCTTTGGGAGAGTCTTCTTCATGTCTCCGAGACTGACTTGTTTGTCGTGGTCGGACAGGACGAGCCAGGGACTTGCTGTTTCAGGATCCAGAGTCACTTCCACTTCACACTGCTGGACCTTCTTCAGCTCGGCCTCTAGTAGCTTCTTCTTCTCTTTCCTGAACGTCTCCTGCAGCCGGTCCACAGCTTCCACCACGACCCTCCTCACCATCTCCTCGTATCGCGGCTGCTGGATGCCGACCTCCGTCCAGTCCTTTGTGGGTGGAGCAGCGTTCACGGCTGAGAAACTTTGGAGAAGATGAAAGTGGTCGTCCGAGCGCGAGAGCTGATCCACCTCAGTGCTTCTCTTCACCAGCTCATAGATTTCCCTGCTCGAGCTCTGTGATGAAGCCTTCGGCCTGTCGGCCTGTTGTTTTTAGCTTCTGCTCGATCATCTCGATGAG